TGATGCTGGGGAAAACTGAAGATCAAAGAAGACGGGGATGGCAAAGGATGAAATGGTTAGACAGTGTCATAGATGCAACGAACATGAATTTGAGCAAACTTCAGAGGACGGCGGAAGAACGGACGGCCTGGCGTGATCTGGTCCATGGGGTCCGAAGAGTCGGACTCGACTCTGCGACTGAACAACAACAACAATGACACATCACTGCTTTGTTCCTGCATTGTATTTCCCGCCAAATGGACATTTGGTTTACAATGAGAATGGCCAGCTTCATCAACACTACAATGGAGCATCCTGACGCCAAGGTTTTCACACCTGCCCAGATGCCCTTCTTTGAGTAAGGTATTAGATTTCAATATTGGCCACTCCTGTTAAGTAACCACCTCTCCCTACATGCAACCAATAGGATTGTTTTTGGGATGGACTAACAGGGAGGTGGGCCAGGAGGTTGGCACGGACACCACCCACCTCTTGGATCCCCCCAATAAAAGGAGAGAACCAGTCACATGGTCTCTCTCTCTCTCCTACTTGATCAACTAGCATCTCCCCTGCAACAACCACTGTCTGCTTTTACCCCTCATAAGTCCCACTTGCTATCCCCAACCCTTGCCTCCACTGCCCACACATTCTGGCTGGTTCTGGTCATGTGTGAATTCCCTTAGTTTTCCATTTCTTCCCCTCTATTCTTCATTGGAACAACCAAGCTGCGAAGACAGATAAGTATAGCCCATCATCACAGACTGTGACAGCAGCCATGAAATTAAAAGACGCCTGCTACTTCGAAGGAAAGCAATGGCGAACCTCAACAGCATAATAAAAATTAGAGACATCACCCTGCCAACAAAAGTCCGCATGGTCAAAGCAATGGTATTCCCAGTAGTCATGTATGGCTGCGAGAGTTGGACCATAAAGAAGGCCACGACGGAAGACAGGAGGGCCTGGCGTGATGTGGCCCACGGAGTCGTGAAGAGTTGGACTCGACTGTGCGACTGAACAACAACAAAAATGGAGCAAACTCCACAAGCTAACAAATAACTTTTTTTAAAAGCCACCACTGTACTCTGTAGGGGCCTGGAGACCAAGCCCTCTGAGGAAAGGCTGAGGGACTTTGGTATTTTGGGTCTGGAGAAGAGGCTGAGGGGGGAAGTATTTGGAAGGCTGTCACTTAAAGGAGGGAAGGGAGCTGTTCCTACTGGCAGCAGACAGGACTCGCAATAACAGGTTTAAATTACAGATGGAAATATACCAGATGGCTATTAGGACTTTCCCCCCAGTAAGAGTAGTCTGACAGTGGGATCAGCTGCCTAGGGAGGTGGTGAGCTCCCTCTCACTGACACTCTTCAAGCAGTGGCTGGACAAACTCTTGTCAGGGATGCTTTTGGCTGATCCTGCATTTAGCAGGGAGATGGACTAGATGGCCTGTATGGTCCCTTCCCACTCTGTGATTCTGTGATTTGCTATTCAGTCACTTTCGCCAGGATTGCGATTTCTATCGTTTAAGACATCAGAGGCCTTCTTTGGTAGGTTTTGCTACAACATTTCTAGTTGCCTTGTAGGAACTTGTGGTGGACTCAGGTCTGGCTGGAACTGGCAAAAACTGAAAAAAGGGGGGGGGGAGGAAACAACCCAAAATCAGCTGCGAAGCGAGAGGGTAACTATATTATACAAAAATACAAAATGTTTATTAAGGTGTACACATAACTAAAACATACAGCGGTTAAAAGAAATAGTCTAAATTTCAGACTTAAAAGGCTTGTACAACCAACTACCCTGTTTCCCCGAAAATAAGACCTACCCCCAAAATAAGCCCTAGCAGGATTTCTATGCATTTGTGGTATACGCCCTAGTGTGTCTTCTTGAGAAAAAATAAATATAAGACAGTGTCTTATTTTCGGGGAAACACGGTAGTTATTATACAAATACAATTGATGGGTAAAATCTTTTGACCTAAGGACCATACGCGTTGCGGACCCTTCGGGCCTTCCTCAGTGGTCAATATTCTTTACATTACAATGACACACATCCAAAAATGTACACATGATACACACACACACGTATACACACATACACAAGAAGAGGGACCCGCGATACTCGCGGGGGAGGCCTCTTCAGGGCTGAGGAAGCGGGAGAGGTGTGCATACCTGAAGCCGGGCTGCTGTGCAAGAGTAGAAGCGCTCCCGTATGTGAGGGAGCCAGTGAAGCGGACCGCCGGGAGATGGTCCAGGCGCAGAGAAGGCAGAGAGCCGCGGTGCAATGGGTGGGCACAGGGACTCCGCCGTGCCGGCCCCCCAACCCAGCCGGTGAGCGGGTGCTGGGGCAGCAGCAGCAGCAGCCGGGTGGCCCGGCCTTGGCTGCGGGTGGGGGGGGGGCGGCGGCGGCGGACCAAGGCCCCCCCCCCGCAACGGCTGCGAGGCACCGTTCCCAGTGCGTTCTCTGCGCATGCGCTGTGAATGCTTTTCTACATTTGGGGGGATTTAAATATCCCCCCCCCTATATTTTTTTTAGTTTTTAGATTTTTGTGCACATCTGTGGATTGCCCCAAATGTGCAGGAAAATCTCCCTGCCCCTCAAGTGCCCCCGATGTGCAGATTTAGATATCCATATGAGACCAGATGTTACTTTCTGAAATTATTAAGAAAAGGGGGAGGGGAAGGCCTGATTATAACATCAAAATTGTATAAAGATTGTATAAAATTGCTACGAAATTTCATAGGCTAAAATTAATTTAAATTATATATTGCCCATAAAAATTCATTAATTGCATTTTTATTTTATTTCTATGTAGAATCATCTGAAAAGTTGATACGGCTACTACTTAGGGCCTACGCTTTATGGCCTACAATACAAACTTGTAGCAATCGCAAATGCAAGAGCATATAAAGTAATCCCAGTATATAATTCTTATTAATGTTAATAAAAATTTTAATACAGAGTTTATACAATTTTAATGTTATAATCAGGCTCCCCCCCCCCCTTTCTTAATCATTTCAGAGAACAACATCTGGTCTCATATACATACACACACACATATACTAGCAGTAAAGCCTACAACGGGATCTAGAAAGAGGCTCTGGGGGAGTGCTCTGGCTTTGGGCAAACAGTGTCAATTTGCTGTGGTGACCTCAGCAGGGTATAATGACAGAGTCCACTGTTTTCTCCAGAGGAACTGATCTCTGCTACCTGAAGAGCAGTTGTAATTGTGAGTGATCTGTAGCCCTCACCTGGAGATTGGCAGCAATTGTTACCCAGGACAAAATGGCTGGTTTGGAGGGTGTAGTCTATGGCATTCTACCTGTCTGAGGTCCCATCCCTCTGCAAACCCCACCCTCTCCAGGCTCCACCCCTCAAATCCACAGGAATTTGTCAGCATGTAGTTGGCAACCCCATCTCCTTCACAGCTAACCATCAACCTACCATTGTCTGCCCCTTTGACTTCAGCTGACTTCTGCCCTCCCTTCTGCAGAGCAGTTGTAATACTGAGTGCTCTCCAGCCCTCACCTGGAGATTGGCAACAATGGTTCCCTATGTGGGACTGACTGGTTTGGAGGGTGGAGTCTATGGCAGTGTACCTGTCTGAGGTCCCACCCCTCCTCAAACCTCACCCTCTTCAGGCTCCATCCCTCAAATCTCCAGGAATTTCCCATCTGGAGTTGGCAACCCTATCAGGATTGGCCCCAATGTGTTTTCTCCCAAAGGCCAAAGTAGGTGACAGGACCAAGCTTAGTTGCCTACCAACAGGCACTGAGGGGAATGTAGGGTTGCCAGCTCTAAGGAGGGAAATACCTGGAGGTTTGGGGGGTGGATTCTGTAGAGGGCAGCATGGGGGGGGGGGGGGGCGGTAACAGTGGGAGATATCCAGGTCCCACCTGGAGATTGGCAACCCTAGGGGAAGTCAGCTGCACAGCAGGGGGTTGAAGAGAATGGTTTGATGGCTGCTGGGCCAAGATTGGCAACAACAGTTCCCCAGGAGCCCCATCGTAAATGCACCAAACAATTCCTAAAGATTTTCCAAAACACTACTCTGTCAATAAATTGCAACACTTTGAATTAGCACCAAAGCTTTAAGATCTCTCCAGCTGTCACCTGGAGACTGGCAACAGCTTGTCTGGAGTGTGGGCAGTATGGCATTGTATCTGTCTGAGGTCCCCCTCTTCCTCCTCCTCCTCAGACCCCACCCTCAGCAGGCTTCATCCCTAAAATATCCTGGAAGTTTCCAACCTGGAGTTGGCAACCCTATGTCCTTTCCTGGCAACCATCAGCCAACCTTTATATGCCTGTCTGTCTTAAGTTTTACAAACACCCCCCCCCAGCCTCTGCCTAGGGAAAGGGCAGTCTTTCCCTGCAGTGGTAACCAAAGCAGCTGACATCATTCTCCTCTCCCCTATGAGGTATGTTATGCAACTGAAAATTCCAACTGCCTTGGGGGGGGGGAGTTTGAGGTGTGGAATGGAGCGAAGTCCAATCAGCTTCCATATGCAAATGACCTTGGAATGCTGGGCGGGACTGCACAAAACAGCCAGTCAACCCAGCCAGTGTCTTCTGAGTGGCAGTTCTTCCGGCCTAACACTAAAGGGGCCAATTTTAGAATTTTGGTGCCCACTACTCAATTATAATAAGGGAGAAATATATAATTTCTTATGTGTACATTTTTGGATTTGTGCCATTGTAGTATAAAGAATACTGAGCACTGAGGAAGGCCCGAAGGGGCCGAAACGCGTATGGTCCTTAGGTCAAAAGATTTTACCCATCAATTGTATTTGTATAATAACTAAGTTGGTTGTACAAGCCTTTTAAGTCTGAAACGTAGACTATTTCTTTTAACCGCTGTATGTTTTAGTTATGTGTACACCTTAATAAACATTTTGTATTCTTGTATAATATAGTTTGTAGCTTGACCCTCTCGGTTCGCTGGCTGGAACTGGTCCAGTGTCAGAGATGTAAAACTGAGAAGAAAAAAGAGAGAGCATCTATTTATCCCTCATTTAATTAAATATCATTACCTGACTTTCCTCCTTCTCCGCTTCCATTCTCTTCACTTCTCTTCTTCTGTTGTGCCACGTGCTCTACAGTACAATTAATGTGCAACATAACCCACATTGAATGAGGCTGAATGGCAGTACATAAAATTATCAAATAAATATGCAATATTATATATATAAACCACGTACCTATTGCTAAAACTTAAAGAGAAAACAGGGGGGAAATGTCTTATATGGTATATATATATGGTATTTCATCCCATTTTTGATCCCAGAACTGCATTCTGAGGCATCCCAGCAATTAAAATACAACACTAATCAGGGTGGATAAAAATCAATGATTTTAAAAAATCCAGCCAGGTGCAACTGGAGGAGTGGGGAATCAAACCCGGTTCTCCCAGATTAGAGTCTGCGCACTTAACCACTACACCAAACTGGCTTCTAAAAATCACAAAACACATATTAAAAGTACACTCACGCCTGCGTATGCTCACATTGCATTAAAAATGGTTAGACTTCTATATAAAACACAACAGCATGCACCTAGTTACCATGCACTTCATCTAGAATTACACATATTTTGTTTTTTAAAATCACAAAATACACGTATTAAAAGCGCACTGCCTGCGTATTCTCACATTGCATTAAAAATGGTTACACAACGACATGCACCCAGATACCATGCATTTCATACGCAATGACTCATATTCTGGATACATTCTTTTTTAAAAATTCACAAAATACACATACTAAAAGCGCACTCACGGCTGCACGTGCTCACATTGCATTAAAAATTGTTACGCTCCCATATAAAACACAAGGACATGCTCCTACATGCCATGCATTTCATCTACAACGCATATTTTGCATATATATTTTTGAAAAATCACAAAATACATGCATTAAAAGCGCACTCATGCCTGCACATGCTCACATTGCATTAAAAATGGTTACGCTTCCATATAAAACACAATGACACGCGCCCACCTACCATTCATTTCATCTACAATGATGCATATTTTGCATTTTTTTAAAAAGTTGCAAAATACATGTATTAAAAGTGCACTCAGGCCTGCATATGCTCATATTGCATTAAAAATGGTTACACATCTATATAAACCATGACACGCACCTACGTACCATGCACTTCATGTACAATGATGCATATTTTGCAATTTTTTTAAAGAATTGCAAAATATATGTATCCAAAGTACACTCACGCCTGCATATACGCACATTGCATTAAAAATGGTTACACATCTATATAAAACATGCACCTACGTACCAAATGACACATATTTTGTGTGTGTGTGTATATGTACACATATTATGTACACATAATATATATATATCTATATATTAAAAATCACAAATTACACCTATTTAAAGCGCACTCAGGCCTGCCTAGGTGCACGCAATTTCAGCACCTGTGTTGTATTTTGATTGCTCCAAAGGGGGTCCCCACAAGAGACCCCCCCCTCGTTTCCTCCTACAAGGAGTGAAAAGTGGGAGGGGGCCCTCCAACAAGAGAGACACCCCTTCTCCCAATGCTCCCTCTAAGCTGCGGACTCCTGTGAGCAAAAATTGGGCGCTACTGCATCAATTGGTTTGCTCTTCTGGAGCCACATCCTTTCCTGAGCTGAGGCGAAACTGTGTGAGAGCTGGAGGCTAAAAGAACTCTGGGCTGGCTCACACTGATTCGGCTTAGAGGGAACACTGCCCCCCCACCCACACAACGCCCCCCCCCATACAGAGCTTGCTGGGCTCCCCTCCCCCCACTCACCGCAGGCGCACGAGCAGCCCCCCCTCCTCAAGACCCCGCAGCCAATGAGGAGCCCTCCCCTCTGATGAAGGACCGGGAGGTTGGCAACGGCGAAAAGCAAGCGGGGCCGACACACCTGAGCTCCCCCACCTTCCCCTCCCGGCCAATCCAGGAAACAAATCCGCTGCTGTTTGTCGGCGCTGGGAGGGCAAACCGAGGAGAGCCGAAGGGGGGCAGCCTCTCCCATTGGCTGAAGCGGGCGGCCGGCAGCCAATCGGAGGGCGGAAAGGAGAGAGGGGAGTCGGAGGGGGGTGGAGGAGGAAAGCGGAGCGGCCGGCAGCCAATCGGAGGGCCGAACGGAGAGAGGGGTCGAAGGAGGGGATGGGAAGCGGGCGGCCGGCAGCCAATCGGAGGGCGGAACGGAGAGAGAGGGGTCGGAGGGGGTGGGGGGGCCGGCGCCGCAGCTCGCGCGCTGAGATGACGCGACCCGCCGTCTCCGTCGGAACGCCGCCGGGATGGGCGGGGCTTCTCTCTCTCTTTCCCCCGCCGGCCAATCGAAGGCGGGGGTTGTGTTTCCCGCCCTTTTGTCTGAGGCGAGGTGGGAGGGGGGAAACGGAAGCTTCCCCCCCCCTCAGGTTTACCTCAGGGGCAGTTTATTTGGACGCCTGCTGAGGCTCCCAAGCTTTTAAAAATAGAAGGGTTTTTTTTCCTGTGTGGCTTAAAACTCAACCATCATTCAAAATAATCAAGAAATATAGGTATATATGGCCCCATCATGGCAAAGTTGCCATGGGAGAGGCACGGATGGTGGGAGGATTATCTGGGTGGGATTGCACCCCAACATCTGGGAAGTGGAGCGCACGTGCCGACAATGCGAGTTAAAAAACCAGTACCTCCAAGGTACTAGTAAAGGTTTGCCACAGACTGCCTCCAGACCCCTGTGGTGTGATTGCACCGGCATTGGGCAATTGCCGAATAAAGTGCACTCAGTAATTCACAACCAAGATGGCATGAGGTGTCATGCAGGCTCTGGCGATTACATTCTCCTAGGCGGTTTGGCTCGATTTCAGTGCAGCCAGCCTCCCCCACAGATATTAATAGTGGTTGTTGATGGTAATGTGATGGTAATGTGGGTGGCTCCTAGTTGAAGGCCTGGTGGAAGAGCTCCGTCTTGCAGGCCCTGCGGAACTGCACAAGATCCCGCAGGGCCCTAATCTCCAGGAGCTCATTCCACCAGTAAGAACCTGCTGCTGAGAAGGCCCTAGCTCTAGTAGCCACAAGCCTGGCCTCCCTGGGGCTTGGAATAACCAACCAATATTGCGCCCTGGACCGGAGTGCTCTTTGGGGTATATATGGGGAAAGGCGGTCCCTCAGGTATGTTGGACCCTGGCCATATAGGGCTTTAAAGGTAAGTACCAGCACCTTGAAGCGAATCTGGTATGCTATTGGCAGTGCCTTCAGCACCGGCTGGATGTGCTCCCATCTAGGGAGACACATCAGTAGCCTGGCCGCGGCGTTCTGCACTAGCTGCAGCCTCCGGATTTGTGCCAACGGCAGCCCCATGTAGAGAGCGTTACAATAGTCTAACCTCGAGGTGACCATCGCATGGATCACTGTAGCCAGGTCGTCGCGATCGAGGAAGGGAGCCAACTGCCGAACCAGCCGCAGGTGGTAGAAGGCCGACTTAGCAGTGGCTGCTACCTGGCCCTCCATTGCCAGGGAGGGTTCCAGGAGCACTCCCAAACTCCTAACCACCGGCGCAGGCACCAATGGCACCCCGTCGAAGGCCGGGAGCAAGAGCCCCAACCCCGAACTGCCCCGACTCAGGCACAGGACCTCTGTCTTCGCCGGGTTTAGCTTCAGCCGACGCAGCCTGAGCCAACCAGCCACGGTGTGCAATGCCCGGTCCAGATCTTCTGGTCTGGAGTCCGACTGACTGCCCAACATTAGATAGAGCTGGGTGTCATCAGCGTACTGGCGACATCCCAGCCCAAACCTCCGGGCAATCTGGGCGAGGGGGCGCATATAGATATTAAAGAATATTGGGGAAAGCATCGCCCCCTGAGGCACTCCACGTTCAAGTAGGTGCCTCCGGGACTGCTGATCCCCTAGCGCCACCCTTTGTCCCCGACCTTGGAGAAAGAAGACAAGCCACTGCAAGGCAAGCCCCTGTATCCCCATGTCGGTGAGGCGGTGGGTTAGTAGCTGATGGTCGACCATATCAAATGCGGTCGACAGATCAAGCAACAGCAACACTACCGAACTGCCCTGATCTAGGTGCCTCCGGAGGTCGTCAGTAAGGGTGACCAGCGCTGTCTACGTCCCATGTCCCGGGCGAAAGCCGGACCGGAAGGGATCTAATACAGAAGCGTCATCCAGATAGCTCCCTAGCTGTATCGCCACCGCCCTCTCAATTAATTTGCCCAAATTGGGCAAATTGGAAACCTGCCTATAGTTGGCCAATTCGGTCGGATCCAGGGATGGCTCTTTCAAGAGAGGGCGGACCATTCCTCCCTAAGGGCACCACCAAACCCCTCGTGGCTGGCTTTAATCAGCCAGGAAGGGCACGGATCAAGGTTGCATGTGGTTGGGCGTACAGTCTTGAGCAATCTGTCGACTTCCTCCAGGTCGAGCAGGCCGAAAGAATCCGAAGCCGGAATCTAAGACATGCAAGGGGCCTCAAGTTCGCTCATTGTATCAACTGTGGCGGGGAGGTCACGGCGGAGCGCCAAGACTTTATCCGCAAAATAGCTCGCAAATGCCTCGCAGCCGATGTCCAATTCCCTAAGATTTGGTCTGCCCTGTGGCAGAGCTGTTATAGCCCAAATCGTTCTAAATAACTGAGCTGGGCGTGAGCTAGCGGACGCAATCATAGCCACATAGAAATCCTTCTTAGCAGCTTTGACTACCATCTCATAGGATTTCATAAACATCCTATAAGATGTTCTTGTTGCCTCGCCTCGAGCCCGACACCACTGTCTCTCTAACCGTCTAAGCTCTCACTTCATAAGCCACAACTCCTGGGTATACCTAGAGCGAGCCTAGAGCGAGGGCGCCGGGGAGTGATCTCATTGATGGCTGCAGAGAGTTGGCTCTGCCAGTCCTCCACAAGCTCATCCAATGAGCCGCCAGGGGGCATTGGATCCTGCAGAGCCATTTGAAGCCACATTGGGTCCATTTGGCTCCACAGGCGAGCTAAAATCCGCTCGCCGCCTAAACAGGGTTCGGGTGGAACATTCAGACAGGCCTTCAGAGCATGGTGGTCCGACCATGGTACTGCCGAAGCAGTAATCC